CCCATTTCAGATCCCATTTTCTGGAAACAAATCTAGTCATTCTTTTTTTTTTTAAACATACATTTACACAATGGCTTGATTTTAACAACAGATGTTCTAAATGCGCATTAAAGTCCCCTTTTTCTACAATTTTGTCTCGCATCATGAAGGGATTTATGTGGATATTGGTTATGGCACAGCTTTGATGGTGAGGCCCGGGAGTCATGGACCTCAGAGCTAGAGGGGAATTTCACACAGGCAGAACAAGTTTCCTACATGCACACGCTGTGAGGGTTAATACACTAAAAGAACATGCACAAGTGAACTCACAAACACACGGCTGAAGCTGAATCACTGTTTCGCTGCTCTGTGACAGCGGAGCCTCCTTCTGGGACTGCATGTTTCACCTTGGCAGTCTCAACGGTTCAGCGGGCCCAAGGATGTGGTTAACAAATCGGGAGAAAGCTCTCCAACTTCAGGGCGGTCACAGGCTTGTGCTAAGTGATCTGTATTCCCCGTGAATCTGCTGTTCCTTAACCCTGTGAAATTAAGAACACTTCCTGAATCTCGCCGCCAGACCTCTCACATAATACAACATTCAAAAAGCACCATGCATCAGTGTCCTTGTGTAATGTAAGAAGGAAGAACCAGGCCAGGTTAGAGCGAGGATTTATTTTATGAATTATTTGATGACCATCTACATTATACAGCAACTCCTACTTACTGTAACACAATATGCCAAATAAGGAGGACGTTTAATTTATGTTTTTTTTTTCTGTTTTTTATAATTTGGGAAGATTTTTACCACAGTAGGTATTCCACAAGGCTATACCCAAGTTTTGTCAAAGTGTTTTGTAGATATAATTTACCATATACCACCTGCTGTAAGACAGTTAACAGTGAAAAGAACAAGGCTCTCAGTGTATCGAGGAAAGTAAAGATTGGCAGGTGAAAGTGAGGCTTACAGGCTGACCTACACACAAGACCTCTTCATCCGTGACTCATAATCACTACTCTGGGGGAGTCACATGGTCTGCTAAAAGGCAGCCAAAGCCATTATGGGGGTGCTTAAAACTCCACTTAAAGATCACTTTATAGCCTATTACTTTAACTGTGGTTAGGTATTTACATGACACCTCCAGCAGCTTTTTGGATTGGTAATACATTTGCTTGTGGGTAGAGCATCTTATGTGACCGTCTGCTGTGACAGGAGTAGTCAACATCAGGGAAACGGCGTAGTGGTTTTCTGCTCGTCTGCTGAACATTCTGATGTTGCAATACAGACGTTTAAAGACCATATATTTGCAGATACATATGATACATTTATTTTTACAGGTCATTTTACAGATGACCTTCTTTATCACAAAGCCTGAAAAGCTACATATTTTATTTGGGGACATTTGAATGGTGGTATGAAATGCTGCTGCTGTTACAAGGCGTATTACATGACCAGGGTCCCGCAGCAGGGTAAGCTTGGATCAGTGGAGACAGCCCTTACCCTGGGGTCAACCGCGACCACACGACTACACCACTCTGACGTGACGTGGAGTCGGGGCGATGGTGTGTAAATAAAGGGAGAGAATTGCGAATCTTGTCATGGCAGCAGCGATCTGAGCAGCTTGGGCAAAGATGGTTGCCCGCAAACCTGACTGGGAGGTTGTTTGTGGCTCTGTGTGGAGGTGGCTGAGGAGGAGAATGACTAGCATCACTACGTCCCTCTCACAGCCTCCCTCTGGCCTGACAGCTCAGGAGCAGTTCAGCCGGCTGCTCGCTGCTGACATATGACTTAATCAACCACATATGCACTAATGAATGGCCATATGAAAACAATTAAAGCTATCAGAGTGGTTATGGAAGGTATTCAGCTGTTAACGATTCAAGTTTCCCTAAGCTGCTTAGTCATATCTGAGAAGGTATGATTATATACATGTGTGCAGTCGTTGACTCTGGACACTTTAAACTTCCAATTATGAATGTTCTTTTTCCCTCCACTTTAAATGTATGGTAGATAATAACACTAAATAAAAGGCAATTATCAGGCCTTTCGGAAAATTAAGCTACAGATTGATAACATTTATTATTTTGCTTCAATATTTCAATATCCTGCTCTGTGTGAACCCCTTGCATTGTGCAAATGTCTCCTCAACAAAGGATTACAATCAATTAAACATTTATGGAAATGGCATCGCATCCTGTAACGCTGGGCTATTTCCCCTGACATTTTGCACCTATTATATTTTCAGACATTTGATGATGTTCCTGACTCATACAGGACATTTTGATAAACACTGACACGCACTAGACTTTGACAAGGTAACCAATTGCATGTCTCTATTTTAGGCAGCATCTTGTGTTTCCCGACAGTTGGATAATTACAATGAGAAAATCTTTGAAGTTTGTCAGAATCTGTGAGAAATGTCATTTACTAACAAATCATGGGCTAATCACAGATGAACTACAATCATTACCTATTTAAGTTTCTTTAGAAGCGAAGCCATTGTTTATAACTTTGGGACAATAAAGCTTGTAGTGTGTCAAATGCATTTGCCCTAGATAAGCAAGTTATTCGTATTGTTAGGTTTGTACCTAAAATAATATAAACGAAAGCTAAAATGAAAACAAAAATGTATATTTTTGCTGTAAAAATGCTTAAGTGAGATTATATGTTTTTGCTTCTTGAATTTCCAATGTTATTTCTTATTCTTTCAAACTGCAGCTTAAAATATGCAAACCGAGTAAACAATAAATGTGAATTTGTGTAGGGAAAATGTCCATGGGTTAAAGTGGCAAAGATTTATATCCTCTGCTTATCATTCATATCTGTGTTTATGCATAATACCATTTTCCATTATACAGTATGACTCAGTTTAATCAACAGGGTTTACTTGGAGCAGACTGCCTTTCTGACAGAGTTTGTCTAATATGAGTGAGGCCATGGGGAGAGGTTGGCAATGTTTGCCAGTGGGTTTGCTCATAGATGAGACTGTGATGAACATCTCACCTCTCCATATGCAGCTGGTTTTAATTCACACTGAAAACTAACTCAGTTGCCACTCAAAGCTTTTTCATTTTTGAATATTTCACAAAGAGTTGATTTTGACTATTTACCATACAGTGTTAGTAAAACGTCTAACCTATGAATTACTATAAAAGTTTATTTTATTGCCTTTGAATAGAAATACCGAGCAGATAGTACTCAGATGCATTTATTCTACATTTCCTTTCAGTACAGTGCATGTATTTCAGGAGTAAACCTTGAAGTGTTGTTTGCATTTATATTCACAATAGGTATATAATTCATGCTGTTATTCAGAGTTTGGATAAACAGCATGGTTCATTCCATCTTAATTCTCTATTCAACTGGCATATCATGGAAATTTCAACAGTCATAGTGGATTAACCTTGTGTGCTTACTACGGGCCCCTCTTTGATACATTTACATGCATCCTGATCCAAACTCGGTTTGGCAAATTATTTCATTTCCATTTTTTTATCACCTTCTTGACCTTCCTCTTGCAAAATAATCACAACTGTAATGTTGGAATATTTAGTCATAGTAATTATATAAATGATGAATCCCTGGAGGTGGGAATATTCTCAGTGGACCATGTGCGTAGAGCATTTCCTATCCAACAATATGGAACAGGCTTCCACAGTGTTTTAGACAAATCAAACTGGAAGGTCATATTAGGTTAAATCGGTATTTTCACCTGCCACTGTAATGAAATGAATTGTTTGTTGCAATGCTAAAGTGTGAAAATATCCTAACTACTGTACATGAAGATGTTTTTTCTTATTGCAATCAACATTTCTATTGACTTTAAATCATTAGGAATGATTGAATTGATTATTATCTCCTTGTTTTTGGCTCTGTTCCTCTGTTTGCCTATCTGTCAGCAGGATTACGCAAAAACGGATAGCCTATTTTTTGCGAAACTTGGTGAAGGGGTGTAGTGTTCAATTTGAAGATAGGTGAATTTGTGCTGTCCCGTCTGGGAGAATTCTTGATATATTGTTTAAACTCCCTGCAATATAATAAAACACATCTTTATAAAATCCATAGTCTCTTAACGGCTTTATTGTTGCTCTATTTGATAAAGTACAAAATCATTGTTGGAATGACTTTATTTGGGTAAAAGTCCATTAAACCAAAGCTTTTACTATGATGTGATTTATTAATTTTTTGACCCCCCCCCCCCATCCAAGCCTTACATTTTGGAATAAAACTTATTAGTATGATCAATGCTTCTTTATGGTAAACATTATATCACAATTAGTGCTAAGGTACCTTTAGAACCTTACTGTATTAAGGCTAAACTGTTTGGTTGGTTTTGCTTGGCTCACAAAGAGCTACGATGTCCTTTCTGTATCCCTGACACTATCAAGTATCACTTTTTTCCATGACGTGGTTTGTCCTCTAAAGCAAAGTTGCTGTTGAGGGATGAGTGAGCACGTAATAAAGCAGTGCTTGTGATAGTGCTTTACATTGGACTCTATTCACACTACTTTAAAAAAAATTAGTGATGGTATCCCCAGGTGTAGTGCACAATATACACCTGTGATTACAATATCCATATGCACTATGGGACCAGCGGTATGTAGAGGAAGATAGGAATCCTCCATACAAATATGAAAATCAACAGTGTTCCCCTATTCCATATATAATCAGTGGGCCCACTGCGGGAAGAGATATCAGCCTAGCTTTCCATTTGCTGATAGTGGCATGCAGCGGCATTAAGAATTCACCCTGAATGTGCCAGGGAGATAACTGAACATGTTGGGTGTCTACGGGAGATATATTTACACAAAACAGGGAGCAGACAGGGTAGATCTAATTGACTAGGTAGCAGTTTGCCGAGGTTGGTACGGCAGGTCTCAGAGTCGAGTGGATGAGGGGCTTACAGAGAGGCCGTCGGAGAGCAAAAGATTAGTGCTGACGTCTCTGCCACATCAATTACAACCCGCTGCTTGGCCGGGGAGAAATCCCCACCACTGTCTCTTCAAGGCCACCATGCACAAACTGGGAGTGTCAGAGGTCATCCAGGGGAGGAAGCGCAAGGCCTCGGCCCTCCCAGTGGGAGTCGCTCCTGTGGGCTGGTGGTTCAGAGTCCCCTGTGGAGGGAGGTGCCACAGAGAGTTTCACAGCAAACACCAGACCTGTCATTCACCAGAGCCACATGGTCCAACACAGCAGGAGGGAAGAGGCAGGGATGAACAATATAGCTCAGGCTGTGCTATTTTTCATTCTATGTCACACACCCATGCGATACCATGGAAACAATGTTTTCATAGCATGTTATTTTACATTTGCATTAATTTCTGGATCACAAATCCGTATTATGTTTAAGCTAATTTAATAGTAAAAAGTGTTGGACAAGCTCTATTTGTTCTGAAAGACGTAATTTTGAATCTAGATGAAGTGTTTGTTTGATAAAAATAGTTGATAGATAATGAAAGTTCAGTGGCTCAATAAACAATTACATATAGCAAGCACTACAATTAAATATGTGCAGTATATCATTTTTGCCAAAACACCCACCCTTTTTAAAAAACATTGCAAGTATCACAGACTTTCTTCTGCTATTGTTAGGTCACACAATATGTAGTGATATGTTTAATCTACACTGCTGTTGAACCCAAACAACCTCTAATTCCGAAGACTGCTGACTCCAAAACATATCCGAGTCGCTAACACAAACACAATGTTTCGGTGTGTCGGCCACCGGGCCAGAGCGGCATGAAGCCATCACACAGAGTTAGCCTGCCTACACTGTCTGCCTGTTATTGTTGGACCAGTCAGAACCCCCACCCCAATGCATCCAGATCTGCATCCCTGTCGGTGGGGGGCTGACACCAGGCATTAGGCGGTGGGGCCTCTGATAGCACCAACACCCTCACTCTCGGCCTGAACCCCTACCATGAACCTTCAGCACAAGGCAGAGCGCTGCTACGGCTAGGGATGAAACAATATGCACAGACATCTTTGCAGCTTGTATTTTAGCTGTAGTGTCAACAGAGGATAGTTTCTACTATCATAAATGGTTATTTATATTCTTTAATTGCTACTTTAATCAGAATCAAATGGATTATCTTTTTTTCTATAACAAAAACAGTCAGTCATTTATGTACATAAGCCAGGATAGAAGCAAATAATATTGATGCTGCATGAAGAACAACCCTTTAGTTGCTTTAACAACTATAAAACAGGACTTCAGAGACTCAGAGAATGGGATCATAATCCCATTAACTTTAATTAGATGTATGTGATGCTCACCTTTCTTCTGTGACAACAAATTAATGATAAGCCAGAGGGAATTAAAACAGTGGTAAGTGAAACCCTTTTCTTCCCCCCAAGGCTCTCCACTGGGTCCCAGCCTCACCTTAAAAGCTCATGAGAATTTAGATCAAACCCCTCCTGCGTAGAGCTGAGTGAGACCAGCCATAAATTGCTAATAGACTAAATGAAACGAGGTAGGAGGCTCCTGCTCTGCAGCAATTACCCCTTAGATGTAGTCATTCATATCCCTGCATGTCTCGTTTCATCAGGGCCACACCGGCATTTTTCCGGCTGTCTTTGTTGCGCTGCTCTTGGTTGGTTGGACTGACCATGGTACCCAGATGCAGGGGAGCATTTGAAACAACAAAGTGCCGTTTGACTGGCTGGACGCTCACAAGAATGCCACCTCTTCCTGCCTTTCATGTAGCATGGGTTTTTATAATCAATTATTAATCAAAGTAGTGTTTTGAAATTCAAACTCAAAGACTTGTCTGCCACACTTGAGTATCTTCCTGTGTTTTGTATTTGCTTGGTTGCCTTTTCATGGCTTTTATTATGATGTCTTTTTACGGTCAGCTGCAATTATAATAGGCACATCTTTATGAAAGGGGTAGGTTCTATTTGGGGAGGGGGGGATTTATTCTAGAAGAAAAAGACATATTATGACAATGATTTACTTATCCTTAAATGAATCCAATAGGATTTTAAACAAATGTTTGCTCTATAATAATGATGGTATATCTATACTACATTTTGTTACATTTACATAGGTGTATATTTGGCCAGAAATATTTACCTCTTCAAATATAAGTGAAACATACTTTATTTTTATATTATTCAACTCTGTACCTGATGTGCCATCATTGAAATATTACTTTTTGGTGGGATAAAGTTATGAGCTTCAATACAATTTAAATACATCAACAATGGGGCACGATGTTGTGTGAGTGATGTAAAAAAAAAAGCTGTATATACAGTGTTTCCCCTAGGATGGAGCCATAGCAGCGGTGCTAAGGCACGTGGACCCAGCATAATGTGAGCGTGGAGCGTGTGGAATTTTTTAGTGTGTGCGTGTGCGAAGTGCGCCCCGCCAATTTGTTTCTATGTGTCTGCCAGCACAAGAGAGGCTCTAGAGGCCTAGTACCAGGGCCGGCTCTAGCCAATTTGCTGCCCTAGGCGAGATTTTAGGCGAGATTTTATACATAAAGAATAAATGAATACGTCAAAATGGCTTCAAATGTTTTCAGTATTGTATGAACTTGTTTTAATTGGGGGGTGGACGTCACATCCTCTAGGGTGTGACCTCCGCTGCGCTGCGTCGCCGCTATTTGTATATAGGCGAAACACTGATATACTGTAGGGCAGTGGTTCTCAAAGTGGGGGGCGCAGAGGCATGACAGGGGGGGGGCGCGAGAGACCAGGAGGAAAAATGGTTATTAAAATATTTTTTAAAAGAATAAAAATCATGTTTTGAAAAATTATTGATTCGAAAATAATATGATACAGTACAGTACTATTACGTCTGGGTCTCTGTGTTTCATTAAAGCTCGGCTCTGTGTGTGTGTGTGGGAACGAGCCATTTTGTGTGTGTGCGCGAGAGAGAGCGCACCGGTACCGGAGATCGTTGTTTTTAGCTTCTGGTACTAGCGAGCTACGCTAACGGATATAAGGAGTTTTTTCAACAGCAAAGGGGAGGAGAGTCCTCTCCTGTCAGACTGAGAGACTCAGTGAGCTAAAGGACTCTCTCAGTGTTATCTCAGTGGGTCTCAAACGTTTTGGTCACCATTAATGTAAACAATTAAATTGTTTACATTAATGGTGACCAAAACGTTTGAGACCCACTGAGATAACACTGAGAGAGTCCTTTAGCTCACTGAGTCTCTCAGTCTGACAGGAGAGGNGTGTGCCTTGGCAGTCTCAGCTATGGATACATCTCTCAACACCCATATGAAGCAGAACTGTGAACAGATTTACTATTTCTTTATGGATATTTTACAAATCACTCCCTTTTAAACTTTATTCTTTTTTTACTGTCATATAGTATTTCATACCTGTTTTTCATTTATTCTCTTGCTTTTTTATAACTATAATGATCATATAAACGTGTGCCTCGGAAATAATTGTTTACATTAATGGTGACCAAAGCGTTTGAGACCCACTGAGATAACACTGAGAGAGTCCTTTAGCTCACTGAGGCTCTCGGTCTGACAGGAGAGGACTCTCCTCCACTTTGTTGTTGAAAAAACTCCTTATATCCGTTAGCGTAGCTCGCTAGCGCCCCCCCTGGCATGCCTCTGCACCCCCCAGGATGGGCGCGCCCCCCACTTTGAGAACCACTGCTGTAAATTAACCTGTGTAAAAGTTTCTAGAATAAATTTAATTTTTTTGGTGTAAGAAACATGTATCATTTTTTTACCCTGCCCCTCAAAGAATTGGAATTGAGAACCGTTAAGAACCGGAATCGAAAAGTAGAATGAAATCGGAATCAGAATTGTGGAAATTCAAACGATACCCAACCCTAATCATGTATGTGTTGCTTCTTTTGAGCTTGTTTTCATAGACCTGGTTGCTTATTTCTCTCAAATCTGGCAACAGAGTGGGCAGGGCGCAGTGTCTAAAAGTCAGAACAGTGAAAAGGCCCAAAAAATAACAGCCAAGATAGCTGAATTCATCGCGTTGGATGACCAGCCGTTATCTGTTACCTTTTTTTTCTCTTAATGCATTACATAAAGATCGGATCGGGAAAAATCGGTATCGGCAGATTGTCAAAATCAAATGATCGGAATCGGATCGGGAGCAAAAAAAGGTGAGAGGGACATCCCTATACAAAATCATTAAATATTTAAGATAAAAACAAAAGCACTCACTCTGCACAAAGGCCCATTTCAGAATCATGAATGTACATATAATTGATTCATATAATTTCATTGTAAAATGGACATGACAGTAAACTTGTACATTTACTCAAGTTCTGTACTTAAATACAATTTTGAGGTATTTGTACTTTACTTGAGTATTTCAATGTTATGTTACTTTGTACTTCACTACAGTTCAGAGGTAAATGGTGTACTTTTACTCCACTACATGTATTTAATACCTTTAGTTACTTTACAGATTTGGATTAATGATGAGAAATATAATCAAGTGTTAAATCAGACTTTAGTTCCACCTGGAGTAAAGTCACAAGCTACCCTGCACTCAGGGGCGGACTGGGGGGAAAAAGTGGCCCGGGGATTAATTTACAGACAGGCCCACTTAATGCGCGGCGTGTATCGGCCGGCCGGCGACGAAAGTATGTTACTTAACAAAAAACCCTATGTTATTTTGGACAATTATTCATATAGTAATCACATTACCTGAGCCCTTGAGTTGCCTAGAGCAAAATAGTTACAGCATATAGTTAGTGATTTTAACGTTAACAGATCATTGATGCAATAACATTTTGACCCAATTTGCCTGACTTGACACATGGAATAAAACATGGGCGTAGGAAGCAATGTGGGTGAGACCATTAAAACAGGGGGTGTGGGCAGGTGGTGGACCTCACCTCCTCTAGGGGGGTCCGGGGGCAAGCTCCCCCGGGAAGATTTATTTTTAAATGTTGAAATTAAATGCATCAATCTGGTGCACTTTGAGAGCAAAATTAGGGACTAAATCTATGGATACATCTCTCAACACCCATATGAAACAGAACTGTAAACAGATTTACTTTTTCTTCCAACATTT